GGGCCCCTCCCTCCACCTCCCGCCCGCGGCCTGGCCGGGCTGGGCCCCTACCGGCTGCATGGTGCCACCAGCAATGACCAGGGCCCGGCACTCCCTCACCACCTGTGCGAAGTGCACCGCGGGGTTCAGAAGCAGGAACCTGAGGCTGCTCTGGCCGAGGCTGCCTGCAAGGCCGGGAGGAGAGGGCGGGGCCACACCGCTCAAACCAGGCCTACCAAAACCATGCCCCACCCACACGGCGAGCCCCGCCCACCACACCTAACTTCCCAGGAGGGACCAAGCCACGCCCACCACACCTAGCTTCCCAGGAAGGGGGGGCCCCACAGGTGACGCTGCCCAGACCACCCCCGAGGCCCACCTCCCTGTGACCCACCCTGCTGGCTCAGGATGACCCTGCCGTCCTGGTTGGCGGTGGTGAGGGCTGCGAGGAAGCCTTCGATGTGCACCAGCGGGGAGGCCAGCCTCGGGGCCTCGGCCTCCTCTGCGGGGGCTGTGGGGGCTGCAGCGCAGTGAGGGAGGTGGACCGAGAGCTCAGGCCGGGGCCTCTCCCCCTCCCCCTTCCCCCCTCCCCACTGTCCGCACCCTGGGTGGCCGAGGCCTCCTCGTGCAGGTGCTGCAGGAAGCGCTGAAAGCCCGACAACTTGGACTCCTGCTTGGAGGCCGGGAGGACGGCGCCGTAGCGCTCCGTGAAGCCGAAGAGCTGCGCCGGAGGGGGTGGAGGACGGGCCGGTGGGCGGCCTGACTGGAGCCCAGGCAGCCCCAGGTCCCGTGCTGCAGGGGAAGGGGGAGGAGGGGAGGGAGGAGGGCTGGCCCTGGCCAGGGGAGAGCGGGTACCTTCCTGCTGATCATGCTCTTCTCCAAGTACCGCTGCACCTGCAAAGCAAGGCCGAGGCTGCGGGTAACCGAGGCCCCGGGGGTCTCTGGTGGGGGTCCCTGGCGCGGGGCTGTGCGAGGAGGACTTGCTCTTCCTCCCGCCGGCCGCACGGCTCCGGGCGGTGCTGGTGGTGCTGGCGGGCCGGGCCCTGGTGCGCCCGCGCCCAGCCGGGGCCTCACCTTGAACAGGTTGATGTTGTCGGCCTGGCTCCGGCACAGGAAGTCGTTGATGCTCAGCAGCACCGTTCCTGCGGGCAGAGGAATGTGGGGGCCTTGCATAGCACCCCGAAGCCCCCACTTCCAGCCCGGGAAGCCCCCCCCTCACCTGTCGAGAGGCACTGTGTGTTGGGGTTCTGCCTAATGTTCCCTAGAAACACGAATTCAGGTTCAGGCGGGGGTCCTCCCCCACCCCGCCACACGCCTCACCCCTGCCGGCCCCTGCGCACAGGATCAGAGCCTGGCAGCCACCTTCCCCAGAGAAGACGCAGGACAATGACCAACAAGGCGGGGACACGGCTCTGGGGGGAC